TCTAACAGACTAAAATCACTTTCTGCTATCATATATAAAGATGAAAACATGGTTGCACTTCCTGGATTGTTGACTACTTCGGGATGCTGATGTGGGAACACCAAAGGAACTTCCTGAACCTACAGGTAAATTTTGAGTAGCAAGAAAAGGACAGTTTTACATTTGTCAACTCAGTAGCAGACTTCTTCAGGACTGGCATACTGCAATAACTATTAATTATCTGTTAATTTTGACAGTGAATCTTTCTTAAAAAAAAAAAAAAATCACAGATGACAAGTCCATGCAGGACAGCGTAAGTATTCTTTGAGAGTACCTGCCTACCACCTTGGCCCAAAGTGGAGATTTCCCCAAATCAAAGCACATAGCTTTGACACATACCTGTTGTGTAAATGGGCTTAGTGTAACTATCACTGCCAAAGAACAGATCTTACGTGGTAGGCAATAAACTACACAGCAGAAATGCATTCTGATTAAGAGTAAAGTGCCTGATCTCCTTCTTCATCTCTGCAGATCATTCTGCTCATATCACAGTATTCATTTACTATGAAGCTTTCTGGACACAATTTGAGCTGGCAGAACAAGAATAAATAGTTAAAATGCTAATGGCCTCTGTCCTGTCCACACAGCAATACCCTCAAAAAATCCTTGTGCATGACCTGCAGCCCTTAGATTTGATACTTTGGAAGGACAGAACCCTTCCCTGCAGCCTGTCCATTTATTTGAAATTAGTTTTAAAAGAAATAAGTAGAAATTTTCTGAATAAGTGCTAGCAAAGAAAAAAAAATATTGGAAACACTAGAATGGAACACAAAAATGATGAGTCTAGTTCACGTAGCATCAAAGCCCTACTTAGGAATATCTGAAAATGAGAAATTCACGTTATGTGATAAAAAAAAAATGAAAAAAGAAAAAAGAAAAAAGTTTTGCCAAATAGATTTCTCTCACTAGCAAGACCAGAGCTGCTTCAGGAATCTTCCTGGTAGTGGTGGGCTACAGGAGAAGTCAGTCTAATTCCCAGAAGGTCTTCTGCAAGATTACAATCAACAGAAGGTTTTCCTAGGCAGTGCTGTTTTGGAGCCAAAAGAGACTGCAGCTGTGATGTCTTTTGCAGAGCCACTCAAGACTACACGGTACCAGCAAGGTTTAAGTCAAAATACAGCCTGCCAAAAGTGTTCAAATCACTCCATTTAGTTACCTGAGAAGTTTTTCTGTCTCAACTTGATAAACCATATGCAGACCAGTGGTTTATCCTGTAATTTTATTACAGGCTTGTGGAGAGAGTATCCTAACTCAGAGACAAAACTGATGTATCCAAGTAGAAAATGCAAGGGGGAGAAAAGGGATTAAAAGAAAAACAGGCCAAACGATAGCCTCTTTTGTAATGACCCCTTCCTTCTCTTGCAGTATTAAAAGGCTGCAGGTGAAACTGCTCTGTAAAAGAACCATTACACTGGAGCATAAACACTTGTGCACCAGAAGAAATGGCTCAATGAGCAGTGCACAGGCAGTAAGACAAGAGAACAAGAACAATAACAAGAGCCAAGAATGACTGGTAAAAAGAAAGAATTGGCAGTGCTGCCTGGAGCACATCAAGGCCACACCATGTATAGAAAAATACCAAAAATGCAAAACAGTAACTGTATGTAACAATTCAACTCTGAAGTTTCTTTGCCAAAACAAGAAGGCTTCTTTGATCAGCATTGGCATTGATCAAGAATTACGGAGACAGAGAAGGATGGGATAGTTAGCAGTCCTTGTTCTCCATAGCACCACAAGTAATCCTGGCATCTACAAGAAAAGGAAATCTGTTGTGTTTAAAACAGAGAGCACCTTTCTGTATGGTGTGCTCATACAGTGTATTTTGCTACATTTATCGTGGCAATAAAGTGGAAGAAGAAAACAACATTCTTGTTCAATTTAAACAATATCAGTACAATGCATAGAAATCACTCAAATTCCATCAAGTCTAGAGGTAAAAGCCATCACCTTTGCAGAGAGGAAGAAACAGCAGTAACTCATAATAAAAAGACAGAAGAAATGTCTCAAGGCATTTACATTATGTTCCTGTTTGCTCAGGGGTACAACTGAGTTTTATGTAAGCATGCATGTTGCATGCTCCAGACAAACCATGCTTGATTGTTGTGGTTCTGAACACAAGCTAAACAGATTGCAGCAGCTGCATATCCAGTGAGTTAGTGTGATTAGAGACAAACTGTCAATGCTGAAGCATGATTAACATGATATAAAGCTTACAAACTAATCAAGCCACAAATTAAACAGTACTTAGATGACTAATTCTCTGACTGCATATTATATTCACCATAAGTCCCAAATATTTCTTCCAGAGTTCTGACCAGTCACAAAAGTCAAATCAAACCAACTAAAAGCCTGAAATTAAGAAAAAAAAATGTTGTGCTGATCCTTTCTCTAATGTTACCTTACTCTGTGATACACATACATTTTATCTGTGCACACCATCACTAAGAGCAAGGCAGTTTTAGTCCCTGACACAGGTAGCTTCACTCAGCTCCATTCAATGGAAACAATTCAGCTGAACTCAACTGAAAACAAGACTTACTCATAGTAAGTTCTATACCTGTTCCATGGTATAGAACAGGACCCAAATGTACATACAGAGCACAGTTGAAATTGCTGCACGGGATGTGGAGGGAAACAGCTCCTGAACTTGTATTATATAAAAAATAGCACTTTGTGAGCATCTGTTGTGGCATACATGCATAAAAGACAATAGTCTTGGTCACAAAATATCCTCTCACTTAGTTTTGCCAATTGATGAGGCAATTTAAAGAATACCAATACCAATGGAAAGAATGGTCTTATTTTACTATGAGTATTAAGGCAGCACAAAAGTAAAATGATGCATTCAATAAAACAATAAGCGTACTATTTGCTCAGCTTTAGCAACATAGAAAAATAAGCAAGACAATGCACCTCATCATTCCTACACAAGAGAAAGGACAGTGATTTAGAAAGATAAAACACCAATTGTCTAAATACTTTACCATCATCCAGAGTAAGAAATTGCTGGGGAGCCCCATTTTGCAGTGAGGACCTGAAGAACCCTTCCTAGCAATTGGTAAAATTCTACTTTGTGCATCCACTCCTAAATGAGGTCTCCAAATTCACCCTGAAAGAGGATCCAGCCAAATCAGCCTAAATAGGCCCAAATCAACAAGTTAAAGTAACTTGATTTTTAGCGCAGAAGAAACTACATACTGATGGTCTACTTCCCTCCCAACTGGGGGCAGAGCATGGCCTGAGGCCAGGTCTTGACTGGGAGGGTTTTTCCTAAAATACCCTACAAACAAGCCTCTATTAATGCCTGGTGGGAAAGTTCCTTAAAATGATACATATATTGCAGAGAACTGGACAAGATGTGAAAATTTCTAAAGCAGCCAGTTTGGTGATAAACAGCTAGCATAAGCATCTCAGTGTTTTGTTTTTAGCTAAACAATACCAGTTAGTCATAGGATTCATCTCATAAGTCAGCTCTGGCTGAGGCCTGCTGCACAGGCCTCAGCATCTCACACTTCAAGCCCACTCTTACAGAGTACAGTAACCATCTAATTTGGTACATACTCTACAACTTTTGCCAGTAGGAGCTTGGAGGCTTGCTACTTGTTCTAGTGGAAAAGCTTCCTTCAGGGAAGGGTATTGTCTAGACAGATACAACTGTTTTACAGCAAGGAAGTGATGTTTCTTTCCCAAAGCAGAACTGACAGAATACTTAAGCTTGTCACTGTTATGCAAACCTTATCTGTCTGTAGGGATACTGCATTTTTCAGTGACTTACCTGTTTTAGAGGCTAAAGGTTTCCAGGCTTTTAGAACCAGTTAGAAAGAGGTGCTAGATAAGTAAATGCAAATAAGTTTACAATACTCCTAAATCCTTCTTCCCTGTTCTGATTAACATCTTTAAACCTGTGCCAGTAAGAAGCAGGACTGTAGTTACCTTAATCCTCTAGCCTGCAATGAAGAGGATGATGTTTAATTAAACAGAAAATAAAAACTTGTACAACTAATGTTGATGGATAAACTTTTCTCTACACTCTCAATTAGATCCTAGGAAACCTGCTTACTTATCAACTGCCAAAAACCATTAGAGAACACAGTAGGCTACTGGGAAAATACCAACTCTTCTTTACAAGGCCTAATATATAGCAGCAAAATGAAGGAACACATGAGCAAGATGATGGTTGCTGTTCCTCTCCAAGCCTCAAAGTCTTGCACCACTATACTTGCCACAAAATTAGAAAAGAGAATGCTGAATGTGGTTCAAAGGTAGAAAGAGGACAATGGCTCAGCAGGTATCCCCGAGATCCAATGTACAACACCGAAGAAAGATGATGCAGCAACAGCATATGCAAGCTTGGTTCTGTCAACTGCAGAAGTTTAGTCAACCAGCAGAATCTTTGCTACCTCTCCATGCTGGAATTCAGGCAAAGCTGAGTCCAGTTGCCCTACAGACACAGGCTGATAGGAGGACTAGTGTAGTATAGTTTCCCCAGCTGGATCTTCCTCCTCTCTCTTTCACTGCAATCTTCAAGGCTTTGAAGGAAACAGTATTTGTATTTTCTCAGATAACTTCTCCTGCAAGACTGGAAACAATACACATTAAATCTGCACTTCACACTGTTTTCAAGGTAGTGGATGAACTTTGCAGAAGTCTTAATGCATGAATGCTGAGAGAGCACATGCAAACTTGTTTGTTTGTTAATACTTGAGCCTACTAACTGGAAATAAAAACATATACTACCCTTTCCTTACAGGGACACATTTTTATTATAGGTCTAGAAGACAGTCATATGTTCATCTAAGCAAAAAAAAGTTTTCCCCCTTAGGATCTATATCTATCTATCTATCTATATCAGGATAGCATGTGACTCAGCACAGAAGTTCTGTGTACACCTGTAGCCTGCAAGCAGTTTTGACAGTAATTGTCTCAGAGCATGACTCAAAGGACAAGACACCAAATCAGATAATCTTTTTTTCTCAAAAATTATTTTATTATAAAAAGAAGGGTTAATAAAACTTCTGTGTCCATAAGGAAATAATAAGTTTCTATTTTACATATGAAAATATTGAAAAAATAACCATCCAGCAATGATTACAGCGTTTTATCAATGGCTGGGACTCAGGGCATTTTCACTCATTTTCATTCATCATCCACAGCGATCAAAAAATCAGTTTTTTTGGCAATCCTGAAAAATGTAAATCACATTGTTAGCAAAGTATAGAGGTCCAGTCCCTCCCCTCCTCAAAGTCCCCTCCTACTCTTAACTGCTGAATGCTATTTGGAACAGTGGCAGTACATGATGACATTTTCTAACAAATCTGTAAAAAAGTGCTACAATCAAAGTTCATTTGAATTGAAACATAAATTTTAAGGAATTTAGATATTTTAGAAGAGCTAAGATTTTAGTTAGAGATAAGCATTACTAGAATTAGTTAAAATAAATGAGTAGGCCTTGATGAAGTTAAGAGTTAGTAATTAACTAATAATTGATTGCTTGTCAACACAAGGTTTAGTTAGCTGGGTTTATAATGAAGAATATAGAAACTGACAAATAGCTTTTAGGAACATAAAACAATTGTGGGTCTCCTCTGTTCTGAAACCAATTGAAGACAAGGAATGGGAGCTCTACCAAGAGTTCATTTGTCATATTTGCACTGAAAAGGTAGAAAGGTCAGAACAAGGAAGACTTCATTTACTTCCTCATTTTGGGACCCCTCCCCATGAAAGGGACCACCGACCCATTTAAAGGAACAAACTACGCATGCTTAATAGCTTTTGTAGCGATTAGAATACAAAGCAAGGAATGGGATGTACCAAAATTATGAATATGTATTTTTATTTTGGGTATTCATTACTTGTATGGATAAAAGGGCTCTGTAATCACTTGGAAGGCGTGGTGTGTATTTGGGAGCTGTCCCACACGCTGCCTGGCATCAAATAAACATACACTTTCTAACTTTAAACTGTTTGAGAGTTTTTGTCCATCACAGTTGGATATTCATACTAGATCAATATCCATATTGATATCAATATCCATATTGATATCAATATCCAAATCAGAATCAGTACGTATATTGCAAAAGTCATAAATTCCGTAATTAAGTTTTAATTGCATTTACCATACATGTAAATATTTCTTTGTTCATATAAAAGCCTAACTGTTGATATGAAAAGCTAACCACTTAATTCTACTTTGAAACCCAAGAAAAGCAAGCTGTTCTATAGCTTAAACCTTTCCCACTCACACACACGCTCTTAAGGATTTTTCTTATGTGCTGTCAAATCTAGGACAAATTCTTAACCTTAAATATTAATAGAATGTCTTTGTTTTTTTTCCAAACCAATAGTTTTGATATCAGATTCCTTATGCTTAATTAACATAGGAAAAACTTTAGTGCACCAGACATTATAATCCCTGTTGTGTGTAGCTACAGCTCTGTAGGAATGCATATTAATAGGACTATAAATAGGTGTTCTGGGGAAGCAGTGTCACTTGTTAAGTGACAGAGAGGAGATGGGCATTTATGTCATCACAGAATCAGTGTCTCCAAAACCCTCACCGATCAGAAGTAAGTGGTAGCAGTAGACACAAAGCATGCATGTCTCATACTTTTCACAGGCAGTCATCCCTTCTAGTGGTAGTTTTCCCCTGAGAATAGAGGCTGTTTTCTGAGAAGTATTAAGATTTGGTGAACACACCCCACAGGCTACAGGGGTTTGTTCTTGTGGAAAAGCAGCACATACAGCAATGGCATGCATCTTTATTCCAGCAGTCAGCTCCTGGTGCCAATATTTTTGAAGCACTCAGTTTATTCTGCTAGGTTCCAGAGTGCTACCTCAACAGGACTGGGGGAAAAGAAATATGCTCTGCAGGATGTAAGATCATTCTAAGAATTTCAGGGAATGCAACTTACTTTTCTTAGAAATTACATTTGCACATTTCTACCCCCTACAGCAATGTTGGTCTGCAAATTTTTATTTAAACCAAGACTAGAGGATTATTCTTCCAAATCACTATTCAGATTTTAAATTTAGATGGTAATGCCATGTAAGAAGAGCAAATGAAATCCAGCGCAGCAGATTTGCTAGTTTTATCACTGGTTCTCTCCTTTAACATTTGTGGGTGCTAGAGGAACTAACTTTGAAACCTTCTGGATCTGTCAGCCCAGCTAAGGCAGTAACAGAATATTACGTAAAATCCACATAAGAAAACACATCATGCCTCCATTTCCAGCTGGTAAAAATTACATTGCTTTTTATACCAATATTCAAAGGTCTCAAAAAGAGAGCAACTCAAAGAGGAAATACACTTCTATGGAAGTAGCTCCATTAAAAAAAACAAAATCACTCATTAAAACTGAATCTCATACTGGCAATAACAAAGAGCTGATGCTAACCTGACAGCTGCTATCTAGCATATTCCAGATGTTAAGAAGACTAACTACAAGTTTAAAAATAGTATTTACCTCTCTAATAGAAGGCCTGAGTAATTTAGTGTCAGATACAGGTCTTGAGTCCTGAGCACTTGTGTTGCCACAAAGATATGAAATACATGCTACTGTCAGGGGAGACTGGGGGTGAGTCACAGAAGTGTGCTTAATGTTCCTGACCCAGAGTGGTCTCAAAAGGTGACTTCCTTACCATAAGACAGAGTGAGCAAAACTACCTCCTCGGAATCTGATCCTCCCTCTCCAGCCTGTCATTTCACAGAATATCATGCTATGTTTTAGACTCTCTTTTTTTAACTGGTGTGAAGTTAACTTACTTCCACCTGAGTAAGATACCCCAGGAAAAAAAAAAAAGAGGTTAATTGTAATAGCCTATAATTTACTGGGGAGTACCACTCTCCATTACAGAATTAATGGAATAGGGTTATTTCTTCTAATAGACTCCTAAGCATCACTGAAAACCCTTTTTTGTGCTAATTCTGTTAGAACACAGGGCTAAGTAAGTCTGACCCCAAACTATACATCATTAAAGGGCTTCAACCAGTGCTCAGGGAATTCGGTCACTTAGAGAGATTTTCTCCTAAAACACTAGAAGCATCCCATTCTCTCTGATCATGTAACTCCTCTTTAAAACTAGTGATGTATCATGAAGTTAGTTACCTTGACCTATTCCTTCTGTGTTTTTTCTTTTTAAATTTAAAAGTGCATTTTGTGGCTCCTTTGCAGCTTCAGCAGGACAGTTGGGTCTTGGCAGCTGATCTCCTGGAGTGGGTCCTGGTCGGTTACTGAAATACTTCTGTTTCAATGCCTTAACAATAATCAAAGAAAAAGAAACAAGTAATTAGTATGAAGTGTAATTTATAAAGAAGTCATAGTGAAACTAAGTGCTTTTAATTGGGACTTAAAAACTACCTGAACACTTATATTACAGAGTGGCCTCAGGGCAAATAAAGATTGTCTTCACAATTACTATCCACCCCACATGCAAAGGGGATAGGGTAAAGCAAGGGATAATTATATACTCCTATTTTTAACCAGTGTTCAGATATCCTGAGTAGAAACTAGATTATTTTGCAAAAAGTCTTGTATAAGTGGCTTCTAGCTCTGAAGAGCTTACATTCTGAATAGACAGATCAGATGAGATGAGGATAAAACAGAAAGTAGGAATAAAGAAAAATTAAAGGAATATTTTTGAAGTCTTGATCAGATTCACAATCTGGACACCAGATGTTTTGTTAGTTTTTAAGCTGGGTCCTTCCCCCATATTTCTTTAACTGTGCTGTTTCTACCCTGTAAACTGTAAGAAAGCATTAGAGCACTCCTATTAGAGCAGAAGACAAACACTAGTCAGCAAGATTGGTTTCATGTAGTGGAATTATACACCTTATTTTAAATTTTCGGAACCATGAAGTGTGGTTAACAAAAAGTGGCTGTCTCTAAGGTAATAATTTCTTGTGCCAGTTACATGATATTCAATGTCAGCTATAAATCAAACCAATCAAATCAATACAGTAAGCACAAGTTGTTTCCTGTCTTAAACTGTGGCATTGTCAATAAAAAGTTTAGATAGAAAACTAATATATATTCAAGTCACTATCCTATAATATGATCTGAAAAATTACTTCATACGTATGAACTACCACAGAGATAGCTCAAGCATAGCAGAACTAATTATCTGGAAACTTACAGTGAATGTCCTTAAATATAGTGGCTAAAACAGCCTGAATGTGCTCTGAAAAAGTCTTCTAGTAAAAAGATACACAGATTCAAACCTAACCAGTAGTGAGGGAGTCCTGGCCCAAAGGGGACAGCAGTTTTTGCATGCTTCCTTATCAGTGTAAAGTGACAGAAATACACTTCTAACTGCCAACTGGTGTATCCTCCTTGTCACAGAAATCAGTACTGCAAACTGGAACATTCTGCGAGATTTTTCTTCCAAGTCCTCCATTTCTCCCCATCAGGGAGTAGTAAAATTGAAAGTATCATGGAAAAGGATAATTAGATAAGAATGATGGTTTAATCACCACAGAATTTTATGTTTAAGAAGTACTGTAAAAGTTCAAAAGACATTGAAGACGAGAAGGGATGAAGTAAGGAGAAAAACCTTCCAAATCCATGCAATAAGATAAGCTGTGTTAAGACTTAACCTTCAAGTTTTAAGTGACTGAATTCAGCATGTCAAATATGACTGTTGGAAGGTCATGGCTCTTACACATTTTAGCTCTCTATCTTGACTCTACACTGGAAATGGAGATGATCACTTAGTATTATCCATACCTTTCACAGTTCTCTCTATAAAACACTGGGATTATATTTCTAGCAATTCATGTGATGTTTCATTTCAAACCTGGCTAACTGGCTTCAAACCCCATTTATCTGATATTAACAGTGGTATCATGAACATGAGGAGATAACCCAAGTGTACTATACCTGAGTAGCTGTTACTCTAGTGGAAGGATTAAACGTGAATAAGCCTTGAAGAAGACCGAGCAGATCATCACCAGCTGCACTGAAGATATGTTGAAGTGGCATTCCAGGGAATGTCTTAAATGTGACATAATCTGGAAGACTTGTCATCCCCTACAAAGGCCAAAAATGGAACATGTTTTTCCCCTAGTAAGAGTTCAGCTTTTCACAGGAAAAGAACTTCATGCGGCTCTTTCACTAGAAGCAGCTCATCTTCCAAAACACATTGCTAAGACTTGGTCACTGAAAGTAAATATAGAAGGCCATAGAAGCTTTTTTTTAATAACTGTTGCAGTGTGAAACAACTTTCCAAACAATTTGTCCTTCCCTTGCTTTAGTTATGACCAGTCCAAAAGGAAACACTGCTAAAGAAAGTATGAAAGAATTTTAGACTGGATCAGACAAATTAAATAAAACTTCCTTTAGTGAACTGACATGGCGAGAGGGAAAATATTTACAAAAGACTCAGTCTTCACTTTCTCTACATTAATAGAAGTTAGCTGAACATCATGTGCATTTTGATTTTAAATGCGCAACTGAACCTTTATATGGGCAATGGGAGGAGGGAAGGAAAATATGCACCAAGTAGTTAAACAAAAAATTAACTGCAAACTTTTTTGTCCTCTAGGTATGAAATCAATCCCATTGTGTTCACATTCTTGCATAAAAATTACAGACAATTGTAACAGACAATTACATAAACATAATGCTTTTGTAGTGTTTTAAGTATTTAAAGCCTTAGCTGTCACACTTCAAGTTTATCCAAGTAAAATAAAATCTTAACACAAAATCAAAAATGTGTTCAATCAGCTATAATCTTGATAGTAAAGGTTTCAGTTATTAAAATCTATGTCTTTGGAGACGAACTTAGGAATGCATAGTCTTTTTTGTGTTAACCAATCTCCTATTCTCTCTTTTTGCCACTTGTATCTTAAATTTTCCTCTTCAAAGGAAGCAGAAATGTCACTGCAAAAACCCTCATGCATTCCATTTAGAGCCCTGGAGAAATATCAGAACTGTGGGGGTCTAGCAGTGCCTCACACAGCAGTTCTCTGTTGGGCACAGCTCCGTCTCATGATCACATACTATGGCATTCCACCACCATTTACAATAAAGAAAAGCTGCACGGAGAGGGAGCAGAGGTGAACAAGTCCAGTGAGTGCTTCCACAACTCAACAACAAAAGACAACATCCTGATCAGGGAATTCTGGACTCCCTGTGTCTGGTACAAGTAGCTCATCAGACATTATATCCTGCTTCCTGTCACTCTGTTTAATAACCATGGTTAGGTAAGTCATTGTGTGACTTGACAGTAAGTTTGGACTGGTGTTACTTAATTTGCTGTCATCTCAGAGAAAATTGTACTACTAATTGTATTTGTTTCAGAATCATTGTTGAGGCAAATTGTTTATCCCTAAAGCTGTTGGTCTGTGTTTTTTACTATCCCCAAACTATAATTTACCAACTCAGATCCCTACAAATGGTTCCTACTTCTGAAAGTGATTAAAGCCTTCCAGGTTAAAGCATGCTAATTGAACAAGCACCCCAAAAACGTTAAGCAGCAACAATACTCTTACATCAATAGCCATGTGAAACTGTGCACATAGAAAGGAAATCAAGAAGTGTTGATACTATTACTATTGACCAGAGGTTTAGCAAGAGGAAAAACAAATCTCAGCTGCTTCATGAGATGAAGCAACTGACTTCTCAAAAATCTACTCAAATATTCTGGTATAATAATTTAGTTACAAGAGCTAAAATAGAGAGTATCAAGTAAAACCAGTTTATCAGTCTGTTAAAAAAATGACTCACAGGCCATTGTTCTTCTGTTGGAGTGCCCAGTGTTTCAAAAATCCTTGTCAGCTGGTCAAGATCAGAGTCTCCAGGCAAAAAAGGAACCTGGAAGAAGGACATGGCATTTGACTGAATTAACTTCTGAACTTCAATTTTAGAAAGAAGCTTTGAGTGACATTACATAAATTGCAAGGCAAAAGCCTCTGTATACCATCTTCCCATAAAGAGGTACACTGGTTATTTGAGGCATTCTGTTTATGCTTAAATAGATTCTGAAAGTTTCCTAAACCCGGGCCTGGTATCCCTGACTTGATAGCAGACAGCTTAAACATAAACTTATGTTTAATCGCAACCACATTAATGTAAAATTTATTAAACACAGAAAGTATTTTATTTCTCAGTTGTTAGCCTAGTCAGCTGGTCATGGTAATCTTTACATGTTCTTTGGAGGTAGCTTTTATATATATTTAAAGTGAATCATACCTGGATTACACAAGTTAGCCTTATGAAATTAAATGAAAGCATGAGGGAGAGTAGAGACCCTCTAGAATAGAAAACTGTCTGACTGGTGTCACATTTCATTTAAATAAAGCAAAAGACTGAAAAGGGGTTATCTGCCCAGTCCAACTTCTAGCTCACATATCAGGCACACAAGGTAAGGAAAAAGAAACTTGGAGACCAAAGCAAATTTATGAAGAATTAGAGGCAGTGTTTAATTAATTAGGACAGAAAAAACATCATCCCTAGTAGACAGCATACTAAATTGTGGCGTCATGAAAGCCCCTTGAATACTGTTTTCATAAAAAGCTCCCAGAATTTGCATTGTCCTGAAAAAGGACACATACATTTCAAAATATCACAGTGATAAAAGCTGAACCATAATACACTTTGTTTTGCGACAAACCAAAAAATCAACTGAATTCAAGAATTATTTGCTTACTAACTTTGGTTAAATGTAGTCAGCTTCAGCAGGTGCAATGCATATTTATATATCCATCACCACTGCTGCTTAAAGAGCCACCATACATTTTTGTATCTGACCTGCCAATCAAATTGAACCAGCACACCTATTTGGTGTGACCAATCAAAGCAAAAAGTTTCTTTCAAGGGTTTTCACACAGAAGTCTGGTTATGATATGTCCACAGAAACATTCAAAGGTGCAGAAACCAAGCAGAAGACACTTAGTCATGGGAGATAAATTGTACTGCAGACTACTTCATGCATTCAGCTGTGTCTGTACCCCAGCCCTCCACTGCTCCCCTCACACTTTAATCTCTTCTCCAAAAAGCAGATATGATAAACATTCTGCTTCAGTGGAAGATACTCAAGGACCATTACATTTGTATACCACACTGAGAAGTGCCATAGGATTATCCTGATGTTAGCTTTCAGCTTCATTCCAGTATTGTCAACTAACCAGAGTTTACAAAAATATTAGTCTTTAATAAATTTTGAATAAAAACACAATTAAGGTACTGGTGATTATAATTGAGGAACAGTATATAAGGGACAGCCCATGCACATATATGTGATGTTACATTTCTAGAACAGTAGTGAACTAAAATAGGTGTCTGTGGATTGCAGGAGTTACCTACTTGACCTCTCCCAAGACAAGACTGTGACAGTTTGTTGCAACTTTTTAACACAGATGCTTACAGACTTCCAGTGTTTGCAATGTTTATGAAGCCTTAGTCTATTCGAAAAAAACACTTTCATTACAGTTAACAAGATTTTTGGAAAGTTTCTTCTGGCCTGCATTCACTTTGCTTTTAGCAGGAAAGAAAAAACATATGAAAAGCTGTAGTGAAAGGAAGGGCAAATACAAAATGCTTACATTTGAATACTTACTCTGAGGAGCAATTCGGCTAAAATACAACCAACAGCCCACATATCAACACCAACACCATACATTCTAGCCCCAAACAGTAGTTCTGGGGCTCGGTACCACCTGAAAAGAAAAGACATTTTGGAAGAATTACCTGATTTGCTCATGTCAAATGCTACATGTTGTAGCAATGCAAAAGCTAAAAAAAGGATATTATTTCTACCTATATACTTTTCAGACATTGAAGAGCTGTATTCTGCAAAGTGTTTTAAGAAAGAATGAACAAATTTGTGCACACCTCACTATAGGGTCATGTACAACCCCAGATTAACTGCAGTTTCAACTGACCTGATTACAAGCATTGAACTGCAGATATGCAAGGAAGACAGTTATTAACATGCAGGTAAACTGAAATTTTCTTAACAATTTTATGTTGAAGGAATCACAGCAAGACAGAATTCCTCCCATCTCCCAAGAATCTCTGTATCAAAAGACCTAAGTATAGAGACTACTTTTATGCAAAATGAGTAGTTTTTTCAAAACAAGACTCTACACTGCCTAAGAACAATCAAGTTTAATGGAATGACACTGCATTTGACATTTTAGAATTTCTGCCTTTTGAATAAAGGTGTTAAACCAACTTTGCCTGAATAGTTTTAGAATCCCAGGAGTCAGAAAGCAAAACGTTGCATACTTTGCAGCCCCACTTTTTATAGCATACCTTAAAGAAGAAGCCATAAAAACCATTTATAAATATTTCAGTTGGTTCAAGTGTTCATCTCAAAATAGGTAATATGAATAGCTCCAAAAATGGTTCTAGGTTCTTGTTATTAGCAGAAAGTAGCAGCTGTCTTGCTCCAAAATCCAGGTTTCTAAGCAGATACATACTATTTCCAGACATTCTAATAAAGTATAATTTTGACAGATATGAGAACCACTCCCACAGATGCATACTCAAGCAGTTCTTATGGAGACTTTGTTAAACAATGATTCCTTCTGGTTTTTTTATGCAACTCTTGCTGCATCACATGAGCAGATGCCACTCTGAATATGTTGATGTGACATGACATATTTCAAAAAGACCGATAAAGCAATTAAACAATCTCTGTGTAAGAAACAAACTAAGAGTGTCTTACCTTGTTACTACCTGGTGTGTATAAACTCTGTTTGGGCTTCCAAAAGATTTTGCCAAGCCAAAGTCAGCCAATTTTAAAACTCCATTTCCATCTAGCAACAAGTTATTTGGTTTAAGATCCTGTCAGTATAGAAAACAAATAATGAAATCTGCCATAAATCAGATAAAAATAGACATAAATATCCCTGCAATAACAGTGTTGTAAAATGAAAGACTTGTTCTATCCTAAAACCTACACTGTGAGTGAAAAAATTTAAAACCCCAGGAAATAAATATTTTATCATATATGAAAACCATAGTGAGGCAGACCCATTTGAACATTAATATATTTAACTTGCAGAGTTTAAAAGAGCCTCTTGATAAGTTTTACATTTTCTGCAGGTACAGCAGTTATGTTATCTGCATAGCTGCTAACTGAATAATAAAAAGACCTGGCCAATGCTTCAAATAACGTTAGAAATCGTGGAAGTCACACAGTTCAATACAGCAGCAGTATACAGCAGTACAAATACCCAACAGTACCCAACCCAAAAGTATCCACACAGCCATTTGTTCTTTCTATTCTCATCCAACTCACCACCTTCAGCAGTAGAGGGGAGAGAAGATCAGAAGAAGGAAAACTCTAGGAGCAGTATAAGGCACTTTAACAGGAAAGTAGCAAAAATCAAAGCCAACAAGCAAGGCCATGGAAATCCTTCACCACTCCCCAAAAGGAGAGTGATAAACAGTTTCCAAACAGCTGCCAGCTTGGAAAACAAAATCCCCCCTTTTTCCTCTACCCCAGTTTTTACCACTGACCAAGGCATTACATGCCATACAGTATCCTTATGGACAACTTGGGTCAGCTGCCCCAGCTGTGCCTCTTCCTTACTTCTTGCCCCAAGCCTACTTATCAGGGCAAGGGCAGAGTGAGAAAAAGAGAAAGCCTTGACACTGATAGAAAGGAGAAAGCTTCAAGAGTTCAGCTGCTGTGAAAAAAAGTCCAATCCATCCCAGGTAGACCCAATTCACAGTGATAATTAAAGTCACATCTAACTGGAAAAACTTTTATGTAAGTGTCAAAGTCATAGCCACATCACTAAATCTTAACATTTCTGGTACTGCTATTATCTCTCCAAAACAGCAAATATGAATGCTTATGGAATGAGACTGTCTGAATTCCAAATACCTTCATTATACCAAATACCTTCATTCATACCTTCAAATATCTGAATACCTTCATTAGGCTATAAACTCTAAATCTACCCAATGTGATTTTTATAGCAGGATGAAGGCTGTCAATTTAGTACAATGCTTACCCTGTGTAGAATCCAATGCTGATGTAAATATTCTAATCCTTGAAGTGTCATCAGCATATATGCCTTGATGTGAGACTGCGTCAACACAATACTTGTATCCTTTATAATAACCTGCAAAGTGTTGAAGTTGTGGTAAAGCTCAGCACACAAGACAACCTTATCCTTATTTTTTAAGTTCAAAAGTTATTTCCATCTTTAAGACAGGCTTCAGATTGGCAGTCATATATTCTCTACCATTTCATCCTTTTTCCAGAAAAATAGGTCAATTCTGTAGATCAGAAATTGAAATGGGGAGTCCAGATACCTTACATGAACTTTGCATAACCCGACAATGAAAAAATGTGTGGGAAACAGAAGTTTAGCATTTAATCTCAGTTCCACATTGATACCCAAACTTCCAGGACAAAGATGCACACATACAAATGATAAATGTGACAGTAAACTAGAAATTATGTTTCCACTTATTCTTTCTCTTTACAACCTAATTAACTAATTTTTATAAATACAATGGTTTCGCCTTCTATTTCAAAAAATACCAGAGGGTATGGCCACTTGATAGTATTTTAAAAATCTACTTAAGTTTTCTACATTATTTGATTTTTAACATTAAAATTCTATGCAAAGACCCCAAAGCTTGTTTGCTAATATTACTGTCCTGCTCAGTAATAGCCTTCCATGAGCTATGTTACAGAAGAGCTAAGACTGCACAAATTTTGTGTATGCAGCATATGCTTAATCACAACAGGCAGCAGTCTCAGTGGCAGCCTGATGATACCACAATACAATTTAAAGACTGCACACCACAGCAACATGTAGTATGAGAGTATTTATTTTTCTTTGTACACCAATCTTCTTCATCTCTAAACTTTGCATAACTACTATGTAAACAGAATGAATCCTCTAAAAGTCTACTAATTACTAACCTATATTAGCAAAAATCAGACCTAACCTTTTCATGTCTTTTATTCACCTAAATTTCAGCAAGACTGTCTGGAAGGTACTGATTTGCAATTACCTAGCATTGCTACATTTGAAAACATGTTTAAAGAGTACATGATTTTTCTAACAGCTCATCTCTTACCATATTTTAGTGTCACACTTACGTGAACATGTTTGGTATTATGCTTATCAACTGCATTCCAGAAACAATGATCTGTGCCAGAGGTTCTACACTCTGACTGGAGTTCCAGAAAACTAACATAGTAAACACAATTTGTTTTGTTAAGATCATGCTGACAAGTATTTAGAAATAAAGAAATTAATCAAATGAGAACTCATAAAAAACTGAAATTACTCAAGCTACTTTTAAGACACAATCTTCATCAACTGACATAATAAAAGTCACCTTTCTAATATGGGCAAATATAAGCCTGTTAAAAACAGCACATTCAGTATGAAATAAAAAAAGTATTTAAAAATCTTACCTCTAAATCTGTTTCCATAAAATCAAACACCAGACTAATATTTGACTTGTGTCCAAATGCATCAATAAGCTGCAAAACAAAATACATTATGATTAATCATGCTCTGATTCTTCCAGTTTTCTGAAATTCGACACCACTGTAGTCTACACGTGGATTTTCAGCTTATTGAGAATTGGTTTAAGTTCTTTGACTTGTAACACAAAAATTCTTACTCAGTTTAGCTTCTTAATTCAGTTTCCAAACCAGAAAAAAATCCCCATTAAAATGGAAATAACATTTCACATGACTGCCTTTCCTTCCTAGAGATAGGAAAAAAGAGGAACAATTAACTTTATCATGTTAACTACAACAAATAGTGTAATGCACACCTTGTCATCAAAACTTTCCTGTTCTAACTACTCTTTATTTAGACAAGACTAAGTTTACCCATAAATTCAGCTCTGTGTATCTGCTTCCTTCAAGCATACAGTATGTAGACATTTTAAGTGTTAGGCTTATTAGTTTCAGACATTTTTACATGCGCATTCATTTTTGTAGCTAGCTTTCCAAGATAAATAGAACTTTTTTGAGGATATCCAAACAGCCCTTTCTTTGGATAAAGCTGTGTAATGACAATTTCTAATTTGAGGTAACACAAGAATGATATTGAATCATCTAGCCTGGTATTCTTCCTTCAAGATGAGGAAGGTATGTGTGCAGCTGGTGCAGCTCACCCCTCAGTCTCAGTGTGATGACTACACAAATTGGCAAATTGCAAGGAAATTGCTAGAATAATTCATAACAGCAGTGACTGTGCCCTTTACATTCACAAAACCCACAAAAGTTTTGTAAGGACTACTAAGAGGGGCACAACACTGTATCTTTATTTTTGAAAACTGCTTTTGGAACTCCTGATCATAAAAAATTTGTCTAATTCTTCTTTGAACTGTTGATGCAGTTTGCTTCTATATGGCTCATGGCAACACATCCTATGAATTCATTACGCATTGAATGAAGCAGTACAATTCCACTCCTGCTGCCAATACGTTTTAAATACATCTCTTATTTCTAGGACAACGGTGTTTGCAAATATAATTTCTGCATGGACACCACCTATCACCTTGGTTTTGTAGACTTCCCTATTACCAGCCTTTCCCTCTCCAAAGTGATTTTTTCATGAAGAATATTGACACTTTCTAATTATCATTATGATTTGACTTTAAAATGTCTTTAGTTTCAGCTGGGTATCTGTAGGTGTAAGTACCAAAACGCAACTGAAACAAAAAAGATTCCAGTCTTACTCCTTCCAAAAGAGATTTTAAACATCCTATATGTGTGCTAAAATAAGTCTGCTATTTTATACTTAGCTAATAAGGCACATGACTTCCCCTTTACCACTGCTTTAAAAAGATTGCTTTTTGACTGTCACCAGTTCTAGGTGGAGCAATCAATCAGGTAAATTCAGCACTGTGTTCATTAGCAATTCTATCAGAGATGCAAAATCAAGCAATCCACATTTTCTCAATTCTTTCACCATTAGCATCTATGTAGGCCCAGGCAAAAAACTAGAAGGATTTAAAGAAAAAAACCTTTGCCTTTGTTATTGAAATAGACACACTGCCATAATAATTGTTGAATTACGGAAAGTATTTGAAGATTGATTCTAGAAGTAGCATCTATTTTACTTACACCAATAATATTTGGATGGCTTAGCTCCTGTAACAGTTTTATTTCCCTGAGGGCAGTCCGGTTGATTCCTACATTGATGGAAAGAAGAAAAGAAGATGAAAGAACAAAAGAAAAACTTTGGATTAGGCTCCAAATAAACCTGTTATTCTGCTACTCACAGACAATTTACTAAAATTACATTCTGAACACTTGTAAATTTGCTAAATAACAAGGACTTTGCCATAATTAACTAAATGGCTGCAAAATAAAAGTGGGCATATACTTTCTTCCACAGCAAGTCCATTTCACACCATACTAATCAGGCTTAGATTATGAAGCAACACATCTACATTTTGGCAAAAAGGGAAAGTCATAGGGAAAAAAAAACACAACCTTTTCCAGGGTATTGGAAGGCTTGGTTCATTTTAAAGAAAAATTTCATTTTGCAAACATCAGTCCCTCAACAAGTCTCACTTCAAACTTCATTAATAAATCTCTCTTCTTTCTGACATATTGCTATCTAATAATGCAAGGCACACGTTTTTCTACATTCATGCTGTAACATTAAAACAGAGTAACCAAAACCTCCTTACTCTTGCTTGAATCTTCTCATAAGCAGATTTTATAGAGGAAAAATCAGGGGCCAACAGGGAGCAAATGGTGCCCATCAGCATTCACACTGATGGCACTGTATCAAACCATGACTCCTGCAGGGTACTAATTCGCCCTTCAAAAATGCTAGTATGTGTGGTTTATATGCAAACTGGCAAGCAAATGCTCCTGTGATGTATCATGCAGGAAGCTGCAACTGCACATGAGCTGAAAAACAGTGACATATGATTCAATGCTAAGACTAGCAAAGTTTTGGGCAAAGCTACATGGATTACTTTACATTCCTGCTTTGCCTGTTTTAATTACCCATTTTGGAATCAAATTAACAACGGCTGCTTTTGGGTAGGCACAGTCTTAAATGAAAACAAAAGTGTGCCATATTATCATGTAACACAGGGAAAGCAGATCTGATAATTATTTTTAATAATATCTTTCATCTACAGCTAGACACTGTAGAGGCCAAAAGTAATAACTGTCCCTAAGGGCCATTAAGCCACTGAAGGCCAAGTAGATCATGACTCTCAGGCAGCCAGCTCAATTGTGAGACTCTGGCATGAGTGATCAGTTCCCCTTTAAAAGAAAAGAACTAGAGAGTTGATAGCAAAAACTCTTCACTGGAAAGCTGGTAACCTGATGAAGGAGTCCTGAAGGACAGCAGCCTGCACACAAATAAAATTCTCCTGCACCACACAGGTGATAAGACCAAGACTACTTGGTTTCAATTTGCCATATCCATACCTAGATACAGGCCTGATCAGAGCACAAGTTCTATAGTGATGAACATGAAAAAAAAAGACACAGAGACAAGAGTTTTGATCTTGCTGTTATTCACTTTTGCCTCTGCACACATCACAAAAATAGAACAAAGGAAACAGTTGTAAACATGCAAATACTCTCAGTCATCTTAAGTACTTAAGGCATAGAGATGTACTGATACAAAAAGGTATTCTAAACTCAATGCTGTTGTTGTTATTATTATTACTATTATTATTTATGTTTGAATTCCATTAAAATTGAGAAGTTATATACTCATAATTAGACATATACTATTGCATGCAGGTATCTATGCCGCTTCTGGTTGTCCCTGCAGTTTGTGAAGCAAACCTCTACTAAGGCTTACAGCAGGCATTGAGCTCGATTTTCTCAGCTAATGGTATGGGAAATTAATGTATTAATTTACAAAAACAAAGCAAACAAAACTCAGCTTCTACAGTATGAATTTGTTTTAAAACTCACCATCTTTAGCTTCTGATCTATGCCCCAGTTTAATCTGAAAATAAATATTTTATATTAAATAAATTAAGATGATGGGGAATATATTTTTTAGTATTGCTCCTCTAAAACAAAATGAGTTTTAGAATAATGAAGCACTTTACCAGCTGGGTTGGTTTCAGTTAGGGTTTATTTCCCCCTTAAAAAAGTAACTGTCTCTACAGCATTAGAATTTACAAAAAATAGCCCTGACGGCACTAAAAACAGACATAATACAAATTGACCGTTTAAACTGCTTTATTGCCACAAAGCTTTACTACATCATTAATGAGCTTCTCCTCAAGGAGAAATGAGAGCTAAATAATTGACAGTTATCTTAGAATGATTATAGTAAAATTAGCATAGGCTGTAAACTTGGGCAGACTCTAGGTCTTTTTGTCTTAATCATCAAATGCCCTGAAATTTCAAGTCCAGAATGCTTCCATTGATATTTTCAGATGATAAAAGTTAAAAAAATATTCTGATAAAACAAAGAACACTCTTCACCACAGGCTCTACCTGTAGCAACCATACAAGACAAGTATTGTAATGCTAAAATTTATTAGTGCATAAAACAAGATTCTTTATTTGAAGACTCACCAAGTTGAATCATGTCAATAGTAAGTAAACCACTGTAACATGCATCTTTCACCCCTTACAAAGAACAGCTGAAAATCCATTTTTAATACAAAAACTTCCTCCAATCCCTTCAGATAGTAACAAGTGAAAAGCTCTATGACAATATAAGCATTTTCATAATTTGTATGCAAGCACATTGAAGATCCAATATCACTTTTGTCATGTTTTATCAAAAAATGATAAAATAAGTGTAGTAAGGCCCTCTGAGTACTATTTATTATTGTTTGGCCAAGCTGGCAGCAACACAGTAACAAAAGACTGAGGGCACTCAAAAGAGATTTGAGGGCCCCAGGAAAATTGATTCAAGTACATGGAGCATAGGCTGTGATTTCTTTCCTCCTTCTGGTATCAAGAACTAATACTGATAGAAATAGGCAGATCTATCTGATTGAAATGCGGCTCTGAAGCTGGTGTCAAAAGAAAAACTTTGAGGTTTATGGCCATGGGATGATCTATTCAGCACCTGTTCTACCAACACCTGATGGGCTGCACCTTTCTCAGAGTGGAAAAAGCTGCTGGCACAGCAGCTAGCATGGCTCATTGGCAGAGCTTTAAATGGGCTTTAAGAAGGGAGAAAAGGAAAATACCCAGCTCACCAGTGATAATCAGCAGGATGGTGCGTCAAAACTTGAATAAATGAACACTAATGGGCTACCTCAATCTGCTTCATGAGGTGTTGGCTACAAAGCACAACACCTAGAATGTTTCTCTACCAATACACTCAGCATGAGGAATAAACAAGAGGAGCTCAAAGCTTTGATTGAGTCCCAGAGATTTGGTATCACTGACTTGAATAAAAGCTAGTGGGATAACTCCTGTGACTGGAGTGCCCTGTTGGGCAGCTACAGGCTCTTCAGGAGATGTACACAGGACAAAAGAGAAGGGGGGTGACATCATATCTAATGGAGGGGCTGGAATGTACAAAGCTTACAGCTGGCAATGGTGCAGTTGAGAGCCTCTGGGTAGAAAACAAGGGACAAATAATGTGGATGTCATTGTGGGAGTTTGCTATAGATCTCCCAGTCAGGACAATGATGCCAATGAATTCTTCTTTGAGGCACTAAGGGATGCTTCTAAATGAACTGCCCTTTTTCTTACGGGGGTCTTCAACTTGCCAGAAAGCAACTGGAAGCATCACAAAACAGGTACCGCCTGGGACAGAAAATTCCTGAAAACCTGGACAACCTTGTGGAAAAGGCCATAAGGGAGCTGACTCAAAAAGATGCCTTCTTTGATCTGCTGCTTGGCAACAGAGAACCTCACAACTGAGGTGGAAATTGAGGCCATCCTGGCCATAGCAATCACAAAGCCATTGAGTAAAAAATTCTGTTGACAGTAGGAAAGTGCCAGCAAAACTTCAACCCTGGACATGA